TTTTTTTCCAGTGACATTTGTTGTATCTGAATGTTTCTGAAAGACAAAAAAATATTGGCAAATGATTGTGGAGCTGTAAACATATTTGAATTTAATAATGTTTTGCATTAACTTGTTCCCGCACCTAAATACGCTGCACTGCCCGTGAATTGTAAAACATTGTCTACTCTGAAAAAAATGTAAACTGTGGTAGGCCTACTTACAGTGGTACAGTAGCCTACACGCTTCAATGCAAAAGATCAAATGTCTGTTCACCTGTTAAATTCTACTGTATGTTATAAACTGCGCTCCCTTTCGCATGCATAGAGCAAAAACTTGAAATTATAATAGCTTATCTAATAGGCCCAATTAAATGAGAGATGCGCATGGTAATTTGTTGTAATACGTTATTCTGCAATGGTTATGATTTATGTATTATGTTTAGAAATGAAATATTGTCTACTCAAGAAATTTGACATTACAGTATTCAGACATAGCCTACAAACGTCAATGGAAAAGGTGAACCGTCGGTTAAACTGCGCTTCAGACCGGATCGCATAGAGCAAAATACTTGAAAAAGCTAATCTATTTACTTCTGTGAAATGGGTCCAATTAAATGAGAGAAGGGACGAATGGAATCCTAACTTGTTGTAGGCCTGGTGTAGGCTATTTCGCAAGTATGAAACCATCACCATCAGAAACGGTGAGGATTTTATTCTGCAATGATCATGGAAATAAATAGATAATAGGAAATAGATGCCTTTTTCTAATTATTTTAGAATGCAAAGATAAAATATATAGATTTTCGCTCTTCTCGCTAACGGCAAATGATTGCATCTTATTATATTTAGCTACCTGTGTTTTGTTATGAATAAGAGTGTCATCATATATTCCTGCACAAGGCTACCACTAGACTACTGTTTTGCCTGTGCGTACACATGGCCACACTTTTGCATGAAAACTGGCACACGCATGTTTTGCCGCATATTTTGTGCTCACGCAGCGTTTATAAATGAGGCCCCAGGTCTCTAAACCCTTCCCTTGTTCACTCAGATCTTCATCGATTCCTCGATTCCCCTTCTATTCCCCTACTCCTCCTCCCCTCGTCCCCCCAAAGCCACGTTAAGTCGTTGTTTTTGTTCCATCGAACCCTTTTTTTGAATTGCAGGGACGAGATCTTTTTCACTTTAGTTTGACAAGGCTAACCCAGGGTTACAGATGATATAAAAAGGATTTGACATTTTAAAAAAGTGGTGTGTGATCAAAACAATATCATATGTTATATACTGTACTCTACAGTGTCATATATAACGTCATATATATTGTCTTGGTGTGAGACAGAGGTGTAGGTAGGTAGGTATCTTTGTCTGTGTGCATACACAACCCCCCCCCCCCCCCCCACCCACCCCGTGAAACACAGACTTTTCACCCGGTAGGTCACAGAGCTAAACAGCTGACAGAGTGGGGGAGGTTTGGGTCACATACGTAGATACACACCCACACACACTATGTCATCCCATAAACCAAACCAGTTAACCCTCCCTTCCTAACACACACACACGCACACACACACAGACACACACACGCACACACACACACACAGACACATACACGCACACACACACACAGACACACACACGCGCACACACACACGCACACAGACACACACACACACACAGTGCTGCCTGCGGATGTGACCTGGCTAGTATTTATTCATTGAGAGACCTTTAGAAACAAGACTAGGGATCCTAATTTATAGCCCTGAACTTTACTGCCAGGCCGGTCCAAGCCGGAGTCAATCAGATAGCTAGCTCACACCAAGAGGCTCCCATAATATCCTCTCTTTCCTTCCCTCTCTCGCTTTCTCTCTCGCTTTCTCTAACTTTATTTCTCACTTGTTTAAGCTCTAGTATTCCTCTCTCTCTCTCTCTCTCTCTCTCTCTCTCTCTCTCTTTTCGCTCTCTCTCCTTCTCCTCTTCTCTCTCTCTCCTCTCTTTCTCTCTCTTCTCTTTCTCTCTCTTGGTGTCATTACATCTCATAGGCAGTATTAGATTTCTTTATTGAATACTGAAAGTCAATATTCTATGTATTGTATATTTTAGACACAAATAATGATTTACTGCAGTCTATTTCCAACACACGTCTTCTGCAGATGGCACTGCTAGATAAGTATATTGCATCAATAAATTGAAATAAGTACACACTGCATATCGTTTTACTTAGAGTTGGCTCTTAGAATTAAAGTAGTTTTTACTTTTATTTGACATTTTGCTTGACAGACAAAGAACTCAACCAACCACTGAACCTTTTTTACCCTCCCTTTCCCCCCAAAAACACACACGTGCACACATATGCACATGTACATTCACACACACACACACACACACCTGCATCTCAACACACTCCCTCTCTCTCACACAGCCCCTCCAACCCAATACGCGTGTGCATGACAATATACATGCTACCTATCTATACACACATGTACCTGGCCTCCTACCATGTATCTATCTCCTCCCCACATATACACTGCTCAACAAAATAAAGGGAACACTTAAACAACACAATGTAACTCCAAGTCAATCACACTTCTGTGAAATCAAACTGTCCACTTAGGAAGCAACACTGATTGACAATAAATTTCACATGCTGTTGTGCAAATGGAATAGACAACAGGTGGAAATAATAGGCAATTAGCAAGACACCCCCAATAAAGAAGTGGTTCTGCAGGTGGTGACCAAAGACCACTTCTCAGTTCCTATGCTTCCTAGCTGATGTTTTGGTCACTTTTGAATGCTGGCGGTGCTTTCACTCTAGTGGTAGCATGAGACGGAGTCTACAACCCACACAAGTGGCTCAGGTAGTGCAGCTCATCCAGGATGGCACATCAATGCGAGCTGTGGCAAGAAGGTTTGCTGTGTCTGTCAGCGTGGTGTCCAGAGCATGGAGGCGCTACCAGGAGACAGGCCAGTACATCAGGAGACGTGGAGGAGGCCATAGGAGGGCAACAACCCAGCAGCAGGACCGCTACCTCCGCCTTTGTGCAAGGAGGAGCAGGAAGAGCACTGCCAGAGCCCTGCAAAATGACCTCCAGCAGGCCACAAATGTGCATGTGTCTGCTCAAACCGTCAGAAACAGACTCCATGAGGGTGGTATGAGGGCCCGACGTCCACAGGTGGGGGTTGTGCTTACAGCCCAACACCGTGCAGGACGTTTGGCATTTGCCAGAGAACACCAAGATTGGCAAATTCGCCACTGGCGCCCTGTGCTCTTCACAGATGAAAGCAGGTTCACACTGAGCACATGTGACAGACGTGACAGAGTCTGGAGACGCCGTGGAGAACGTTCTGCTGCCTGCAACATCCTCCAGCATGACCGGTTTGGCGGTGGGTCAGTCATGGTGTGGGGTGGCATTTCTTTGGGGTGCCGCACAGCCCTCCATGTGCTCGCCAGAGGTAGCCTGACTGCCATTAGGTACCGAGATGAGATCCTCAAACCCCTTTTGAGACCATATGCTGGTGCGGTTGGCCCTGGGTTCCTCCTAATGCAAGACAATGCTAGACCTCATGTGGCTGGAGTGTGTCAGCAGTTCCTGCAAGAGGAAGGCATTGATGCTATGGACTGGCCCGCCCGTTCCCCAGACCTGAATCCAATTGAGCACATCTGGGACATCATGTCTCGCTCCATCCACCAATGCCACGTTGCACCACAGACTGTCCAGGAGTTGGCGGATGCTTTAGTCCAGGTCTGGGAGGAGATCCCTCAGGAGACCATCCGCCACCTCATCAGGAGCATGCCCAGGCATTGTAGGGAGGTCATACAGGCACGTGGAGGCCACACACACTACTGAGTCTCATTTTGACTTGTTTTAAGGACATTACATCAAAGTTGGATCAGCCTGTAGTGTGGTTTTCCACTTTAATTTTGAGGGTGACTCCAAATCCAGACCTCCATGGGTTGATAAATTTGATTTCCATTGATAATTTTTGTGTGATTTTGTTGTCAGCACATTCAACTATGTAAAGAAAAAAGTATTTAATAAGATTATTTCATTCATTCAGATCTAGGATGTGTTGTTTAAGTGTTCCCTTCATTTTTTTGAGCAGTGTATATATGCCAGTCTGTGCATAGTCCAAACCTCATCATAACAACAGCAGGCCCGTCTGGGCTCTGTATCTGAAATAGACACCATGGTGACAGGTTGTGTCAGCAAAGGCTGGATAGGTACACAAGTAGGTATGCTGTTGGTCTGAAGAGAGCCTTTTCAATGTTTGTTTTTAGCTGCGGGATAGAAAGTTACTCACCCAGTCCCTTACCTCATCCTCTTCCCTAGTCGCTTCTCAATTTATATAGTAAAATGGGTGATTTAGAATTCGCCTGCAGCCAACCATGGAATACAGTGTTCTGTTGAAAACAGTGTGTACTCACTTTATGAGTATACACCTCTATACCATCTATGGAAGAATAGAATGTCCCAATAGAATCGACTCTAGAATCTATAATATATTCTTACCCATAGGACCCACAGCTTTGCCTGTCAGGTCCAACCCAGTCCTGCTCATGGACCAAGATCATGGACCCAAATAGCCAAACATTCAATTAAATGTTCACACCTTCTCATAAAATCATCATACATTTGATGTTGCCTCCTCCTTTATACTTGACAGTTGACCATTGATCTGTAATTTATTGGATGGGTGAAGACCAGCTATATGGTGGGAACTCCAATCCACAAGGCACCACCATATTGCTCACATCTATACAATTATTTTAGATTATTGGTCACCTAATTGGTAGCTAATCCTTTAGATAATTGGTCACACTTGTTGGGTATTCCATCGCCAAACCATTGGGCGATTAACTTGGCCATGGGTTGGGCGAGGCCGGTGACAGTCAGGCAAGAAGGTGTGTCTGTGTGATAGAAGTCCCCCCACCCCCTCCTCCCCCACTACCTTCACCCCTACCTCACCCTTCCCCCCCCCCTGGCCTGTGCACGGGATTGTAGCTATGCTGTTCAGACTAACATGCGCCCCCTGGTGTTTGCATGCAGTCATTGCATCCAGCAGATCCTGGAGGCGGTGCTACACTGCCATCAAATGGGCGTGGTGCACCGAGACCTGAAGGTGAGTGACAGGTATCACCTTGCTGCCTGTATGTTGTCCCTTGGGTGTGTGTGTCCAATGTGTATGTGTGCGTGTGTGTAACTGTTGCCCCTTCAGTGTGTGTCCAGTGTGTGGTGTTGGTATGTGTATAGGTGTATCTATCCTCTATTTGTGTGTTGGTGTAAGTGAAATTTTCCAGCATCACTGTTTGTGGATTGTAGCTTTAGATAAGTATTTAGTCTCTTCCGTTATGCTGTAGGTTGTCAGGCCTACCCATTAGTTTGCATATTAAAAGCAATCAAAAGCAGTCAGTTGGCCATGGTCAGTCTCCTGTTTTCAGGTCAGAATCCCTACCTGCTTTAGCACCATCTCTCTCTGCACCATGTGTTCTGTGACCTTTGGCCTCTCTGGTTGTGTCTTGCCAAATGCTGCTCCCCTATCTCTCTCCTGTTGTTGAAACAGCACCTTTCACTCTTGCCAAATGCAGACCCTCTCTCTCCTGTCCTCTTGTTGAAACAGCACCTATCCTAGTCTGTGGAGAATGCCAGTATGCATGGCTCTTCTATGCTATGCTAGGCTATGCCATGCTATGCCTCGCTAAACTATGCTATGCTATGCTATACTATGCCAGCCCTCTCTTGGAACAGGGTTTGTCTCTCCTACTCCTCAGCCTAGGCTGCTGTATTAAAGTTAGCCCCATGCTATTATGATTCCCAATAGCCTACAGATTTCTAAAGGGCAATCGCTTTGTCCAATTTATTTGTCTCTAAGGTGCTTCCAATGGAATTGTATAGCTTCCAGTGGTTTACTGAGTCTACTGTGATTGGCTTGCGGTCGGTGCAGTCCTTTCCTGTTCTGTCCTATCCTGTGTGTCTGTGTGTACGTTTGCGGGTCTGTGAGCTTGTGTGTTATTATAACTATTATTATATCATTATTATAACTATGCCTTGTTTTGCATGATGCTAGTCTGCCGCTGTAGTCTATGGGCAATTCCACAGTAATAGAGTGATGCTGAGACTCTGATTTTTAACTCATAAATGTATGTCAAACAAAAACCAATGATACAACGTTAAACAAACCATTCAACTCTTTGCACAAGGACTACTTTTAACAATTTCTGCTGATTGTCTTTACAAAAACACATTTACTTAAAGAACAGTGCAGATGGAAAGTTTGGTGTCAGAAGTGCATCTGCACTGTTCTTTAAGTAAATGTGTTTTTGTAAAATGTTCAATGGAAATTGTTAAAGAGCAACTACCTTAAAAAAACAACTTCTCATTTAGAAAACAGCCTGTGGTATCGATATGAGTCAGAAACATTTATTCTACTGTCATAATTGACTACAAAGTGTAAATAGGATAATTTTGGTCATAAAGTCAGTCTCATCCAAATTTGAGTTTTGTGTGACTTGTGGTCGCAACTGCATCACAATGTAAATGAATGTTGGGTTCTGTGGAATTGTCCTTTATGCTAATGCCAGTGGCAGGCCCAGGCCTCTGGGCAGTGGCAGCATTCCTCTTGAAGTAGTGTTGTGTTTATCAGAACTGTTGTGGCTATTTCTTTATTTAGCTGCCACACCTATCAGGTTACAGTCCGCAGTACTGGGGCAATTCACCCAATAGGTCATAGTGTGATGACTAAGGACAACGTCTGAGAGTGTCTGAGTGGCGAGAAGAACACTCCCGTCTTGGAAGAGCGATACAGCAAATAACAAATCAAGTGGGGACCACTAGACAGTTATGAATAATTGATCAGTGTGAAAAGTTAAGCAGGACTACAAAGAAAGCACACAGTTCTGTTGATATGCTTCTTCTAAAGTCCCAAAATTAGGCTAATTGACTTAATCCAGTCTCTGGTTTCACAACTGGAGTGCCATTTCAATGGAGGCCTGCCTGCCTGTCTGTCTGTCTGGCTGCATCTCGTCTCTCTCTCCACTTCCTCAGAAGGAATCTGAGCAGATCGAGCCCTGTGTGGAATGCTGCAGCAGCACCCACTCTGCTCCTGCGAAAGGAAAGACGACGGAAGAGAAAGAGAGAGAGAGTGAGAGAGCGAGAGAGAGAGCTGGGAATCGTTCCATCCGAAACACCCACACACAGGCCCTCACTGCTCTCCAGCGCAGCAATACTCTCTCCAATCCTCTCTCTCCGTCTCTCTCTCTCTCTACTCTCTATATCTCTCTCATCTCTATATCTCCTCTATCGGCTCTCTCTCTCTCTTATCTCTCTCTCTCTCCTCACACACTCACACTCACTCACACTCTCTCTCTCTCGCTCTCTCTCTCACACACACACTCGCTTTTGCACTCCTTCACCTAACCCACTTTATTGTGTGTGTTTGTGTGTGCGTGTGTGTGTGTGTGGAGGGAAGGACCTAGATTTGTGTGTTCCTGCAGAGGGCTGCTATTATGCGATGTGCAGAGAAAGATGTTGTCTGTCTGTCTCTGTGTCTGTCTGTCTGCGTGTGGTGAATTTCTGTGTGTTTGTGCGTGTGGCCTGGACATTGTGTGCCTGGATATGGAAACCTATTTTTGGAAGCTTGCGGTTAATATAAATTCCACCCACAATCATAGCAGGGATTATCCTAGCGCTGCAGTGTTGGCAAGTTTTAACTTTCTCCATACACATGAGTAAACCCTGAATCATATGATATGGCTGAGGGGGAGATGACACCAAGTAAGGTAACCGCCTCAGGATTACAGTTCCTCTCTCTTTCATTCTCACTTGCCCTCGCTCTCTTTCTCTGTCTTCCCTCTCTTCTTCACTCTCTTTCCCTGTCTTTCCCTCTCTTCTTCACTCTTTTTCTCTGTCTTCCCTCTCTTCTTCACTCTCTATTTTGCTTTTTCTCTCTCACTCTCTCCCTTCTCTCACTCGCTCTCTTTCTCTCTTCTATCTCTTTCCCTTTTTCACTCTTCCTCCTTCTGTCTCTCTTTTGAGGTCTTTCTTTCTCCCTCCTTCTGTTCTCTCTCTCTCCTCTGCTTCCGAGCAGTGCAGAGCCCAAGCTTTGTTGTTATATGCATCTCTGCCATAAAGTCAGTATTCTTACGGCTCCAAACAAGTTAGGAAGAGAGGTAGAGAGAGGGAGTGATGAAGGTGAGATGAGGGAGAGAGGGGTAGAGAGAGGGAGGGATTAAGGTGAGATGAGGGAGAGAGGGGGTAGAGAGAGGGAGGATGAAGGTGAGATGAGGGGAGAGAGGGGGTAGAGAGAGGGAGGGATGAAGGTGAGATGAGGGGTAGAGAGTGGGAGGGATGAAGGTGAGATGAGGGAGAGAGGGGTAGAGAGAGGGAGGGATGAAGGTGAGATGAGGGAGAGAGGGGTAGAGAGAGGGAGGGATGAAGGTGAGATGAGGGAGAGAGGGGTAGAGAGTGGGAGGGATGAAGGTGAGATGAGGGAGAGAGGGGTAGAGAGTGGGAGGGATGAAGGTGAGATGAGGGAGAGAGGGGTAGAGAGTGGGAGGGATGAAGGTGAGATGAGGGAGAGAGGGGTAGAGAGTGGGAGGGTGGGAGGTAGAGAGGGAGGGATAAAGGGGAGATGAGGGAGAGAGAGGTAGAGAGTGGGAGGGTGGGAGGTAGAGAGGGAGGGATAAAGGAGGGGAGAGGTGGTGTAGTAATGAGACATAAAGAGGAAGACAGGCTGCAATGACATGAGCTACTGCAATGCAGGGTCAGCAGTGGCACTGTTAACACAGTGTTTATACCTCACACACTCTCTACAGGTGTGTGTGTTTGCGAGGGAACGTAATAGTATGTGAGAGAGCAAAAGGTACAAAGGCAGATCTGAAGGCACTATCTATGTGAAGTAAATATGCCAGAAGTCATCCTTTGCACATTGGAAGTCTAGGTAGAACCATCACCATATTGCCTTATACCTATTCAGTCCCTTCAGATCTGCAAACATCCGAGCAATGGGAACTAGGGGAAGGGGATAGGGGTGACACATTTCTATTGTGTAGAGTGATGTTAGGCTACAGTAGGTCTACAATACAGTAGCCTTGCAGTGTGAGAGAGAGAGAGAGAGAGAGAGAGAGAGAGAGAGAGAGAGAGAGAGAGGTCCAGTGGGGATAGCAGCCCATTATTAGAGTCACCCTCTGACAGAGAGTAATGAGGCTGTTCTATCTGGGACACAGAGAGAGAGGGGGGGGCACCACCAGCTCCCCTCACCACCAGCTCCCCTCACCACAGCCCAAACCACTATAGCCTAAACCACAGCCCAGAGCAAACTATAGGTGTTCTGGTGTGTGAGTGTGTGTGTTTTCATGTGCTACATCTATGTATGTTTTCTGTTACTGTTTGTGTATGTGTGCAAATATACTGTATGGCCATCCGCTGTTGCAAACACAAGAGTGTTTGTATGTTTGTCCCTCCTCCCTTCTCTTATAGTTCAAAGCAGGATTAACCTTAGCGCCCCTCTCCTCCCCCCCCCCTCCCCCTAGCCAGAGAATCTGCTCCTGGCCAGCAAATGCAAGAATGCTGCCGTCAAGCTGGCTGACTTTGGCCTGGCCATCGAGGTACAGGGGGATCAGCAAGCCTGGTTTGGTACGTTTTGACTCTACACTACATTCTGATCCAAGATCTGTGGTTCTGACTGTTTACTCTACCAACTGTTTACTGTTTCCAACCTTTATTCATCCCACTAGGGGTGACGTGTTAAGCTTGGAGTAAGGAATTGTGTTTGTATTTGTGTGTTTGTGTGTGTGCGTGCGTGTATGTGTGCGTGCGTGCGTGCGTGTGTGTATTGTCGTGCTGCAGGATTTGCTGGCACACCGGGATACCTGTCCCCTGAGGTACTGAGAAAGGAGGCATATGGCAAACCTGTGGACATCTGGGCGTGCGGTGAGCATCTCACACATTTACACACACACACACACACTCTTTTGGGCACACAGAAAGACGCACACACAAAAATGATACACACATGAATGCCTTCACACCCAGACACAAATGCTTGGACACAAAAGCACAAAGTAAATATTCATTAAAAAAATGCTGATTCTGTGGGTTTCTCTCTCTCTCGTTTTCAATCTCTCTCTCTTTCTCTCTCTCTCTTGCTCTCTCTGTCTCTCACGCTCTCTCGGTTTCTCTCTCACTCGTTTTCGTTCTCTCTCTCTCTCTCTCCCTCTATCTATCTCTCTCTCTCTCTCTTTCTCAGGGGTGATTCTGTATATCCTGCTGGTGGGCTACCCTCCCTTCTGGGACGAGGACCAGCACAAACTGTACCAACAGATAAAAGCAGGGGCATACGATGTGAGTTATACAGGATCGGACCAGGCCTGCTGTCCTCTCCTCTCTTCTCTTGTCTTCTCTCCCTTTTCTCTATTCTCCTCATCCTCCACTCTATTCTTCTCTCCTTTCCTTTCACTGTGTCCTCCTCCCCTCCTTTGTCCTCCTCCCCTCCTTTGTCCTCCTCCCCTCCTTTGTCCTCCTCTCCTCCTCTCCTCTACTTAACGTTCTCCATCTTTCCGCTCTCTGTTTGCTTTCCTGTTCTCTCTCTTTGCCCTCTCTTTCTTTCCGTTTCTTTTTCTTTCCCTCTCTTTTTGTACGCCTTTCCCCCTCTCCCCTCTTCCCTGCTGTGCCTCCTTTCTCTCCCCCCCCTCCCCCGTTTCTTTTTTAGAAGTAACTAAATCACCTCATTCATATTTTAGAGGAGCGGGGAAGTGCCTACCTTGGGCACATTAGTCCCATTTTAGGAAAGAATCTCAGGGAGATTATGTCATTGAGCTATGATGACGTTTAACAGCCCAACACCTATTATCAAAAGACACATTGCTGTCTCATCCCAATGTTATATATTTATTTGTTAATACGTTATTTATATAGGATATCTTAGTAAGGCGGGTGTGATAGTAAACAGATAGTACACTTTGACACCACATCTATATACACAGTCTTATATAGAGAGGACTACCCAGTTTATTTACTGAGAGTATTCAGCTGGCTGTTATCCTGGTATAATTGATCATTCAATGTAATGGATTGGCCAGCAAGTGCACTTACCTGGGACCTGTTCAGAGCGGTGGAATATTTGAAACATTGCTGATAGAATTGTATTGATTACATCTGTCATACTTTTCAATGATAGAGAATCATATAGACAAATGGAGAGTCCAGAAGCCTAGAACCTGATCAAGCCTGTGTGTGTGTTTGTGTGTGTGTCTGTGTGTGTGTATGTCTGTGTGCGTGTTTGTGTGTGTGTGTGTGTGTGTATGTCTCTGTGCGTGTGCATGTGTGTAGTTTCCCTCCCCAGAGTGGGACACAGTCACTCCAGAGGCTAAGAACCTGATTAACCAGATGTTGACCATCAATCCTGCCAAGAGGATCACCGCTCAGGAGGCCCTCAAACACCCATGGGTCTGCGTAAGTACACATGTCACTATGTATTGTAATATATCCAGGAGAGATAAACACCCACTCATATACATACACACAAAGGCGCAAAGATCTAACTATATCTCTGTGACTTTTGACTCATGTGACTTACATTTCCTCTTTGTTTATTTTCTCTCTCTCTCTCTCTCTCTCTCTCTCTCTCTCTCTCTCTCTCTCTCTCTCTCTCTCTCTCTCTCTCTCTCTCTCTCTCTCTCTCTCTCTCTCTCTCTCTCTCACACACACACACAGCAACGTTCTACAGTGGCATCCATGATGCACAGACAGGAGACTGTGGAGTGCCTGAAGAAATTCAACGCCAGGAGGAAACTCAAGGTCAGTGGATCACTTTGGTATTCTGCGTCTGTTTCAATTCATTTGTGAGGGGTTTTCAGACCTCAAAAGTTTTCTTAAGTCAAGATGATTCCATGCCACCTGTTCTATAGATATAGCTATAACCTGTTATATAGCTATTTAGCTACATTGATATGAATTACTGCATTGTTGGGTTTAAAGCTTGTAAGAAAGACATTTCACTGTATTTGGTCAAGTGACATTACAACTTGAAACTAGCTATTTGCCTAAATCTCGAACGAATGGAAAAGATTAGCATGATATTATAATCTGAAGTGTGGCCTGTTGTTGCCATGACTCTGTCATATCAAAGCAGTCTTGGGCTGACCACCTCTCCCCTCTTCTCTCTTCTTCTCCTATCTCAGGGGGCCGTTCTCACGGCTATGCTGGTTTCACGGAACTTCTCTGGTAAGTGTTGCATCAACACACACACCTACTCTTTACATCGTGTGGAACCTGCCAAGGTTTGGGGCTCTGGCTAGAAGTTACCCTTAGGCACAGATCCAGGATCAGCTAACCCTCCCTAAAGTCAAGGGGTAAAAGGCCACTGATGAGATGCACACAATGTGTCAGCTATTTGGAGATGAGAAGTTGAGTCCGGTAGCAAATGTAGCAAATATGTGCACTTTCAACAGTATATAACTCATTTTCCTATTCTACACAATCAGCAGTGTGTGTGTACTGCGTGTGTGTAAGCACGTGTGTGTGTGTGCCTGTGTCTGTCTGTCTGTCTGTCTGTCTGGGAGGTTGGTGTTTCAGTGAACATGAGTCACTCTGATCGTAACAGCAGACCTTTATCCACACACACACACACACACACATGCACACACATGCACGTACAGACACAAGCATGCACACACACTCCCACACACACTCACACACACACACACCTGTCCGTCGCATCCCCACTCCAACACCCTCATCTCCTCAGGAAGAGGAGCCATTATTAGAGTGAGGTCATCCAGGGATGAATCACAGAGAAGAGATGGATATGAGAGAGAGCGACAGAGAGAGAGATGGATGGATGAGAGAGAGAGAGATGGATGAGGGAGAGCAAGGGGAGAGGGTTGATGGATGAGGTAGAAAGAGGAGAGGAGAATGATGGATGAGGGGAAGGAATACGAAAGGGAGATGTGAGTGATAAGGAGAGGAGACAAGAAAGAAAGTGGGAGATACAGATGTAGGATCTTAATTTGATCACCCTGTTGCTGGAGAACTTTCCTGCAATGCAGGAAATGTAACACTTGTAGTGTATTTCAGGTTTAAAAAGGCTTCTGAAGTTTGTAATTTCAACTTTGACATTTCAGACTTGATTTTCCCTTACGAAAAATGCATCAACCACTACAAAAATGTCCATTAAGTATAGTCTACATAATAATTCACATTTCTTGTTGCTGCAGGATTTATTTTCCCCGCTGTAGCAACCTGGCTCAAATTAAGATCCTATATCTGTAGATAAGGGAGAGGGTGGAGAGTGATTTAAGAGATAGAGTAGGATGCAAAAGTGAGAATGAGAGGAGAGATGGGAGGGGGTGTTAGCAGGGATGGAAAGAGAGAGGGGCCAACAAGAGAAGTGAAAGAGAAAGGCTTCAGTATCCAGTATCTCCTTCTAACCGTCATGAACTGTTCCAGTTGGGTATTGGATGATGGTGTCAGATGTATCACTAGCTCTGTTCACTCCTAATAGTGACTCCCCATTGAACTCCATTGATGCTTTATTTCAGTGTGTTGTATGGAGGAAAATACCCTACATTGGGAGATGTTGGACAACTTATGTTGTCTTATGTAATTTGTTTCATGAAAATATTGTGTTGGATTGTGTTTCTCTGCGTGCTCTATTAATTCACCTCTATTTTGGACTAATGAACCATATTTGTTTCCCTCTCTATTTTTTCCTCTCTTCTCTGCCCTCTTCCCTCTACCCTCCAACCTCCTTCTCTCCTCTCCTCTTCCCTTCTTGCTACTCTTCCCCCCCCCTCTTTCTCTGTGGTGACTGTGTGTGTGGGACACTAACAGTCGGCTGTCGCTCCACCGCTCCGATCAGCATCACTGCCGCAGCGGCAGCTGCATCCGCGGCAGCGGGCACCACCACTGGGCTGGTGGAACAAGGTAGCCTGGCACACCTGGGGGTGCTAGCCTCCTCACTCCCACCCTCCCTCTTTCCCTTTCCCTTCTTGCCCTCTTGACCTCCTCCCTCCCTCTCTCCTTTCCTCCTGGCATGGGGTGTTCAGAGCATGCCACTTCCATCGCCACACTTCGATAGCCACCCGGCCTCTTTCTCTCCACTCAGCTGCTCTCCCTTCCCTTCTGCTCCATCTCTCCATTCCTTCACTGCACATAGCAGCACATTGGAGCATGCCTGAGCCAACAAGACCTGTCCTTGTTCTCCCTCTCTGATCTCCCTTTCTCTCTCATTACTTTTTCTTCTAACCCACCGTTCCACACTGCTTCAATCCCATCTTCATTTGCCTCTTTTCATCTAATACCTCTATTTCCTTCCTTGTTCCCCTGCTCTACCTCTTTTCTCAATTTTGCGCTGTCTGTTAATAACACTGGAAAGTTTACCCCCCTATCATTTTAAGGATGGAACAGCCCATGTGCTGTCGGTGAATGCTGCATGGGGCGCTGGACTGGTGCATGCATTCTAACACGGGGGGTTACGGGGATATGATGCATGGTTAACACTGTGAAAGATGCAAGGTTGGGGCTTCTCATCCAAAATAGTTTTTATACCTGTAACATTCCAAAATTTGTGGATGACATAACAACAGAAGGACAATAGTTTGCCTGTAGTTGAGTGTGTAATTTCACCACACTTGATGAATAAAAAGGCAATAGAATAACCACTACACAGTCTAGTGTAGGGAAAGATCTGGTTCCATCAGTCTTCTAAGTACATTGTTATTGTAGGTTATTGTACTGTATGTTCAGCAATACTAGCATTGGCTAACTATTCAATTGAATGTTTATACTGTTTATAGCGTAGGGATAGAGCTGATGCAATCAGCGCTGCTGTCCTCTCCACTTCCCTCTGTCTCTGTCTCCACAAGACTGATCAAATATTGCAACTTCATACTGGCCTGTCTGTCTCTCTACATTAGATCTACTCTCCTTCACTAGATTACGCTAGAGAGACAGGGACAGAGACACACAGGATCCACAATACAGTTAGCCTCTCTAGAGGGAAATAGAAGTTCATTGAAATGTTTCTTCTTATTATGAAAAACCAACATGATTCTGCCTTGACGCCTTCATCCGAGTGCTTACAGACATAGACAGACTGGCACAAGACGGACAGGCACAAGACAGACAGACAGACAGACAGACAGACAGACTGGCACAAGACAGACAGACAAAGGCTTTTACAAATCAGCCTCCATCCTTGCTTCTTCCTGTAGGTTCTGCTATTTACAGGAATGTAAGTGACCACCTTAATGGGTATTAACCAATGTGACCCATTCTCTTCTTTCTCTTAATCTCTTCCTCCTCTCTTTTCTTCCTTCCTTCTCGCTTCTGTAATTTGTGGCAAGGTAAGGAGCCTTCTTGATTCCTCTACAGCACGGGTAAGCAACCCTGGTCCTGGAGTGCCGAAAGCACTTCATGTTTTTGATTTAACCGATCTGGAAGACGAAGTGTGTTGAATTTAGTCAATCACTGAACTGATCAATTATCTCAGTTGGTCAGGTGTGGTGCCTAGTTGGAACAAAATCCTGCAGTACCTGCGGTACTCCAGGAACAGGGTTGCCTACCCCTGCTCTACAGGGTTTAAGAACAGCATGACCTTTGGGTTTACAGGTTGGGACAAAACACCATGGAATTCTACTTTCTCTCATTTTATGGAATCTATCGGAGCGATCTGAGAGTGAATGTAACTGCAACCAATGATGTATATAAACACAAAAAGGGCTAAATATGTTTGTCTATGACTGCAACTCAGTGGTTGTTCTGCAGCTCAGACCACTTCCATTCTAGAGTCTGACTGAGCTTTCTGAAAGTGTTCCAGAAGCTTCTAATTATTCAGATAGAAGGCTCTGGTCTGTTCTATCATCGAAGGAAAAACAATGTCAGTTTATTGGAATAAATGTTCTGTGAAAAATGCTGGGGGGAAAACATCCCTCTTCTCTCCCTCCTCCTTTCCCTCCCTTCTCCTTCTCCCTTCCTCCTATCCTCCTCCGTCCCTCCCTCTCTGTCTTTCTCTCTCTGAGACTTCAAACAAGATGTGAGAATGCACTTGACACTGTTATGTCCCGTAATGAAAACATATTATCACCTATGGCTGCAAATATTGAGGCAACTTATTCAAATGCTTACCTTATAATAATGCTCATTGTGCACAGTAGGCTACACATCATGAAATATATTGAGGCCAAAAAATAGCAGACAGTAGCCAAATAGCCAAATAAAACTAAATTGATTGAAAACCGTGATGCAGTCATCTCGGGTTTTCATTTGAAGCATCTTTTTATCCTTCGCTTGTGTGTAGCAATGCAAAGACATTGGTAACTTCGTATTTGTTGTCCACTTTGTTGTGAAGTTATCGGTGGTGAAAGGCTTGTGCGTAATGAAGAGAAACCAGAGTCGTGTTGGAGCTAGGAACACAAGCATTTCACTATACCTGCAATAACATCTGCTAAATATGTGTATGTGACCAATACAATTAAATTTGATATAAAGTGACGGAATGCATCTAACCGTTGAGTCGTGGTAATTAGGTTTCTCCAAAACTGTGCTCTGATACCTCTGATAGTCATTAGTAGCCTACCAAATTTGCTAACGGCCAGTCTCTAATGGCCAGTGCTCAGCACTATTGTCCCTCTAATCACACTGACATCAATGCAAATGCAATCTAATCAATTCATGAGCCCTGGCGTTCAGAGTTTGAGCGGAATAGGATCACCTGTTGCGCAGCGAGAGCCAGCTCCTCATAACTGGTTCATGCATGGAATTAAATGAGGGTTCCTGTTGCGCAACATTTCTATAGGCTATGCTATGCAATTGCGTGAGAGAAAAGAGATTTGATGGCCTCTATTAAAAAGAGGAGGATCCCATCAGCTTTCTATAGGCCTACTATATTTATTTCTCAACTTTCCATATATTAAGCACATTGCTTCTCTTTACAACCGGAGTAGCCCACCTGGCCGGCATGAAAACGAACCGCGGGAAAAGCGTCCTCCATTTGCTATTCCGACAGGTGCATGATAATGTCCCATTCTAAATCAAAACTAATTTCACACATATTATTTAGTATATTTAAAGACAACATTACATTGAGAATAGTCTGAATGGTGAGAATATTATAACTTGTGAATGATGCCCAGTGTGTGCAGTCTAAGGCAAGAAACAGCACTTTTTCTAATCATAGTCGTATGCATCATGTAGCCTAGCACATAGGCCTTAATGTTTTGATAAGGTTTGTATCGCAACTAAAGTGGCCAAATAACTCCAAATGTAGCCTATAGGCCCAAGACCTCTGGAACATTGTTGGAGAGCCCATAGCCTACAGAGCCTAGTGAAACATGTCCTTACAGTAGAAGCTCAGTCATTTCGCAATTGTGTGTGAAAACAGAGTTTTGACTGGCCACTATTTAAAAGTGGATCCCAGCTTTCTCGTGCTGCTATATTTATTGCTAAATTCTTAAAAGATTAAGCACATTAATCTGCTTTACAAACGGTGTAGCCTACCTGGCATATTAAAAACATAACTGCACATAACCTCCCTTCGCTATTCGAGCGCAGGCTATGGATGACATGTTTTTTTTGTGGGCCATTCTAAATAAAAAAATAATTCCACACATATAGAAAAGTGAGAATATTATCAATTCCTTGTCAAACTGTGAATGAGAGACTGATGAAGTGTGTGCAGCCTGCGCAAGAAACACAGCAGTGCGCTTCCCTTTCATGCAACTTTTTTCAAATCATTAGTTGCATCATGCAGCCTTAGAATGTGTTAAAAATCAAAACATACAGCCCAACATTTGTATCACAACTAAAGTTGCATAAATAACTCTAAATTAAGCATATAGGAGGACCTGTTTCTTTGTTAACCGCTCAACACAGAATAGCCATATGTGCTCATTCCCTCGGAAATCGTTTGGGGAAAAATATCCTTTCTATTTTATTCAGCTATATTCAATTGTATTGTTCTTATAGCCAGATCAGGGCCTAACATAAGGACAACTCAGAATATGCTATTCTGTTCTTCTGAAATAGGCTACATTTTCTTTAGACCTGCCTAAAATAAATAATAAACTTATTGTGATGCTGTAGGCTATATTAAATGAATGTATTATACTTTTTTAAATGTAGATGTCCAGAGGTTGGCTTTAGGCTATGCATGGTGGCCGGAGATGTTAAACGTGTTTGTTAAATAACGGTCAATTACTGTGAGACCGGCAGTTATTTGCATGACAATCACCGGCTGACAAAATGTCATGACCGCCACAGCCCTAGTTTTGGGAAACAGCTCTGAGATTTAATGTTACTCCTACAAAGGTTCTAGCGATGAACTTAGCCTTAAGATGCTTTTGGGAAAAAGGGCCCAGGTGTTTATCGTGCTGGCCGATGTACCTAGCAAATGGATGAATTTGCACATTTAGCTATCTGTATGCTGGTAAAAATGAGATGCTATATCAATTGAGGCAGATGGAAAGGGGGAATGGGATACTATGTAGGAAGGAAGGGGAAAAGCAGAGGAAACGAAATTGCAAGTGTTGCATTATCCTCTCTTTTTTGTCTTTCCCTCGGTCTTCCTCTGTATCGGTTTCAAAGCTCTCCCTCTCTTTTCTCTCTCTCTCTCATATTCTCTCTCTCTTTCTCTCTCTCTCTCTCTCTCTCTCTCATATTTCTCTCTCTCTCTCTCTCTCTCTCTCTCTCTCTCTCTCTCTCTTCTCTCTCTCTCTCTCTCTCTCTCTCTCTCTCTCTCTCTCTCTCTCGCTCTCTCTCTCTCTCTCTCTCTCCACACACCACCATGTTTTGACTTCTGTCTCATCACTGTCTCCTCTCCTCTCGTGGCCTCAAACACACTTTGAACAGGCTTCCCCTTTGGGAGAAGGGCTCGCTTCCAATTCCTCCAGAAATTAGTTTCTAAAGGAAATTCTAATGGAAGTCAAGCCTCTATTTAAAATTCACTGCAGACTTTATGTGTGCAATGTGTGTAGAGAGAGACAGAGCTAGACAGAGCTACAGAGAGACAGAGACAGAGATGGGAGAGCACAAGCTATATAGAGATAGAGCTAAAGAGAGAGAGAGAGCTACACAGAGAAAGAGAGAGCTAAAAAGAGAGAGGAGAGAAGAGAGAAAATAGTCCAGAATGCCAGAAATTGTGTTTTATGTCATGTGGTAGTGTTGATGTTGTGATAGGATGTGATTAGACTGTCAATAGGACTCAGGCCTTTAAAAGTAGCAGTGGAGCTGATGATGTCTAGTAGAGTTAGAGGAGCGAGACTGGGACGGTCTTACTCTGACAGGTATAGAGCCCACCTGCTAGATGAGACAATGTTGATTGACAGCGAGGTAAAGGATGGGGAGGTGCACTTGTCCAAAAAAAAGGTGCTATCTAGAACCTAAAAAGGTTCTCCTATGGGGACAGCCGAAGAACACTTTTTGGTTCCATGTAGAACCCTTTAGGTTCCAGGTAAAACACTTTTTGGTTCCATGTAGAACCCTTTCCACAGAGGGTTCTACATCATGGAAACTAAAAGGGTTCTACCTGAACCAAAAAGGTTTATCCTATGGAGACAGCCAGAGAACCCTTTTGGACCCCTTTTTAGTAAGAGTGTGTGTGGTGTGTTTCAAGTTTCAAGTTTTTAATGTCACATGCGCAAGTCCAGTGCAATGCCTTTCTTGTGTGTGTGTGTGTGCGTGTGTGTTGGGAGGCAGGGTTGGGTAGGTTACTTTCTAAATGTAATTTGTTACAGTTACTAGTTACCTGTCCAAAATTGTAATCAGTAATTTAACATTTGGATTACCAAACTCATTATTGATTACTTTTGGTTACTTTTAGATTGCTTTGCCCTTAAGAGGCATTAAAAGAAGAAAAACATTTATATTTCCAATTGAACGACATTTATTGCAGGATAAATCAATGTTAGACTTTACATAGCTGGCCATAAATGAATGTTGCATTTTACTTTATGGGTTGGTTATGTAGGCTTCTTCTAACCCATTGCTTTCTACTATAGATAATACGATTAGGCTATATCTTTACATTTAAAAACCAAGTCTATCAGATTTTCAGTCATTCCAATTAGTTTAATGACCCTTGATCATCATAGTGGTCTCTGACTTGTTGTCAGACTCACTCAGGCAGAAACAAACTTAAACGTGCGCCTTTTTTCAATGCTGATTTGAATGCCATTGAGAAAACAGAAAGGTGTCATATTTTTTTGGCAAACATCCTTTCTGAACTTAAAAGTAATCCTAGAAGTAATCATCAAGTTTTTCAAAAGTATCCGATTGCAACATTTTTGCTGGTAACGTAATGGATTACATGTCATCCGTTACTCCCCGACCCTGTTGGGAGGGGACCCATTTTGGACTCTAGCCCCGAAGGGGACCTCGGGGACAAACTCCAGTATCTTTCTCTCTCTCTCCCAAACTCGTTTTTCTATCTCTGCCTCATTAACTAATTAACCAGTTCCCCTAAATGAGGTTCTGTTGCCCACGGCAACAACCCACATCAACTCTCGCTGGGCCTAACCCAGGAACAATTATGGGTGTGTCTGTTTCTATTACATAGGTGCACGCGTGTCTGTGTGCACATATGCTCTGCACATGGCGTGTGTGTCTGTCTGTGTCCTGGTGTAGTAGCTGGTGAGGATACTGACTGTTGTCTGTATGACATTCCCCCTGTTGCTGAGGATTGTGGGTATTGTGCTAATCGGACTACTGTCTACAGTATTAGTCCAAGAAGGGAATAACTCTTAAAATGTTATTTTCTTACCAACTGTGGTACTTAGGAAGCCGTCTATTTTTGTGTTTTAATGAACATTGTGCTTCTCAAACAGTTTAATAGGAGGACCATTAATCTAATCATGTTACAGATGACTGCCTTGTCCCCTTGGTACCATAATGCTAGCAATTAATGCCTCTAAGCACCTACTGACTTTGATTCTCTTTAATCTCCAGCACTACAATACACAGTCACATTAACTTTCCTATCTTGTGTATAAAAGGCCTCAGGTGCCTTCTGTTTGTATGGCGGTCAAATGAACATGACTCCTGCAGGTTGATGCTGTTGTCTCTGTGTGATCTCTCCTGTGCTCTCGCAACATCTCTGACCTGCTGTCTATCTCCTGTTGTTTCCTATTGCAGCAGCCAAAAGTTTGCTCAACAAGAAGGCAGATGTCAAGGTAAGGCCCTGTTCAACTTACACATTCCTGCTCCAAACCTTCCATTTCCTTCTCCTCTTCTACCTTCTCTTAACTTATCAGGGGTTTAGGCCCTGGTTATTTTCCTCTCTCTCTCCCTCTCTCTCTCCCTCTCTCTACCTCTCTTTCCCCCCCCCCTCTCTCTCTCCCTCTCTCTCTCCCTCTCTCGCGCCCTCTCTCTACCTCTCTTCCTCTGCTTTTGCTTAGCTTGTGTGTTTCTGTGTAGTTGAAAGTGTCTCTTGCTCAGTGATTCGTGAACGTCCTGTCTTTATGTCACTGTGGCTTTGGTGGCTGACTGTGATATGTGTGTGTGTGTGTGTGAGATGTGGGAGAGAGTGTTGACTCAATTTGCAACCATCACAAAATAGTGGCCTCAAGTGTAGTGTGTGCATCCGTTCACGCCTGTGTCTCCTCATTGCACCTTGTCTTGTCCACTTTTTTTGTCACTCCAGCATTCCTTCTTTCTCTTCTTTCCATCTCATCCCTCTGTTCTTTTCTTTTCCCCCCTCCATCACGGTTTCCATTTCCTGCTCACCCCATCTGCTCTTTAACCATTTGAAACCCTTCCTGGCTGGCTGACGTGACTTAATGAATCTCTCGCCATCCTCGACCCCATCTCACCTAACGCACCAACACATCCCACGCATTGTGTGTGTGTGCGTGTGTGTGTGCGTGTGTGTGTGGGCGGGGGAAAGGCAGAGCGGATGGAGGTTGGAGAATAGTGTGAGCATGTTTGTTCTTGTGAGTATGTAAATTAGGGAGCTTGTGTACCTGTAGGTGTTTGTGTGTTAGTGTGTGTGTGGTGCGTGTGTAATAAGCATCGATGTATCCGTGTGTGTGTGTGTGTGTGTGTGTTTGTGTTTGTGTGTGTGTTTGTGTGTGTGTTCAGTAGGGAATGTGACTCCAGTTCCAGGAATAGCCATGAGTCTGAACCCTGGAAACTCACCAGCCAGAAATAGACTCTCTCTCAAACACAAACACACACGCCACACACACACACTTCCCCCTGCTCATCATTGCCTAGCAACAGGACCCCTGACACACTCGGCCTAACCGTTTAAAAATATTTAAATTGTGTTTTTCTTTCCTCCTCCCTCTCTTTCTCTCTCTTCGCTCCCTCTCTCATAATTATTTCCCTGGTTGTATCGCTCCTCTGACCCCTCTCATTGTCCCCTCTGTTCTTTCTTGTTCTGTAATGCAGAACAGAACAGCACCTGACATTTTCCACCTCAGTCAAACACCAGCTTCAGCTGCATTGTGCTCTCTTCTCTTCTGTTCTGTTCTGGCAATAGCTGCTACTGCACTGCTGTGAGGCTGCCGTGTCGCATCCCTCCAATAGAGTTCCAGACACTTGTAGAATCTATGCCAAGGTGCATTGAAGCTGTTCTGTTAGCTCGTGGTGGCCCAACGCCCTATTAAGACACTATATTGGCGTTTCCTTTATTTTGGCAGTTACCTGTAGATTACAAATGTAGTTAGAGGTTATTGTTCTGCTTTTTAATCATATTAGATGGCACTTTTGAATGTGTATTAAAGGGATACTTCACTTTTGCCAATAAAGCCCTTTATCTACTTCCCCAGAGTCAGATGAATTCGTGGATATAATTTTTATGTCACTGCGTGCCGTTTGAAGGAAGTTGCTAACTAGTGTTAGCGCAATTGCCTACAAGCGTTAGTGCAGTGACTGGAAGTCTATGGTAAATGCTAGCATGCTAGTAGAAACCTTAGACTTCCAGTCATTGCGATAATGCTAGTTAGCATTGGCACACAAAACTACCTCTAACTTCCTTCATAATGGAAGAAGAGACATAACGATGGGTTCATGAGTTCATCTGACTTTGGGGAAGTAGATAATGGGCTTCCTTGCCAGAATCCTGAAGGAAGGAGAATCATTTTTTCTCCTTCCTGCTCTTTTCTTCAAGAAATACTATTTTCCTTCTTTCCTCATCACAAAAGAATGATTGATGATTTTACTCCCAGTCAGTGCTCCTCCTTAGCCGCTCCTGAAACTTTTCCTATTTTAAATTTTTCTTGTATTCCTCATGATGCCACACCATCCTCTGTTCCTGGCTACCACTTGCGCACCCTCCCATTTCTTTCTTTCTTTCTTTCTTTCTTTCTTTCTTTCTTTCTTTCTTTCTTTCTTTCTTTCTTTCTTTCTTTCTTTCTTTCTTTCTTTCTTTCTTTCTTTCTTTCTTTCTTTCTTTCTTTCTTTCCTCTTGAGAATCCATAGAAGTTACATTTTCTATGGGATATCCTTTTTTTTCCTATCCTTTTTTAACTGGTGAAATTGAACTTCTTTATGGTGGTTTTGAGCCTATTGATCCACCATGCTCACCAACCAAGGCTCTCATTTTATTCGACATGCTCATCCTTCAGTACTTGTTGTCATCCGTTCTTTCTTTCTCTCCCTCCTATCTTTCTCTCTCCCTCCATCATCCTTCCATCACCTGGGACAGAAACGTAAGTCCAGCTCCACTGTCCAGTACATGGTGAGCATGCCATTTTAACGTCCCTGGACCTCCCTCTTTCTCCCTCCCTTTTTCCCACTCCCTCATTCCGCGGCTCCACTTTTCTCCCCCACTTCTCCACGTTTTTTGACCCTCCTCGATTCATCTTTCACTGTCCTCATTCACTCCTCCCCCCTCTCTCCATTCCTCCCATCTTTAGTTTGCCAGTCCTATATGGAACTGCATTTTCCCCTCGTCTTATGAGCTTGGAGTTCAGTTCACCTACCTAACCTAACTTCAACCTCTACATTTCCCTTCTAAAGAGGAAGTGTGCTATTTCGCAGCATTATATTCCCAATTGGAGAGGTTAAGCATGGTTTGCCCTGGCCTGTACTGTTATTAGTGTGCTGTTGTCTGTGGATGATCAGAGTGTCCTCAGAGATGTCCCAGTGGAACTTTAACCCTAGACATGAACACACACATATCTATATGACTTCTCCTCTATATGCTCTAAGGATCTCAGCTGTGTGCTGTATACCACACTGCAGCTGGAAAGATAATTGGAATTTGAAACAGACTTTTACTAAAAAAGTGTTAGAAAGTAGCTCTTTGTATGCGTTTCTGTGTTATGGATGAGTGAGCTACTGCATATGAAGATCTGATGTTTGATGAGTGAAGCTTTGTCTGAGCTGTAGAACTGCTTTGGTTGAGTTATGTAAGCGTGTGAGTGTGTGACTGCTTATGTGTGTTTTGTGGCTGCATTTGTATGTGTGTGGATTTTCTATAGATGTTGATTTGTTTGCCAGCTCTGGTGCAATTTTCGCTCGCTGTGTGTGTTCTCTCTCTCTGTTCTCTCTGTTCTCTCTGTTCTCTCTCTCTGTTCTCGCTCTCTTGTCTCTCTCTCTGTTCTCTCGCTCTCTTTCTCTCCTCTCTCTCTCTCTCTCTCTCTCTCTCTCTCTGTCTGTTCTCTCTACCACTCTGTTCTCTGCCTCTGTCTCTCTCTCTCTCTCTCTCTCTCTCTCTCTCTCTCTCTCTCTCTCTCTCTCTCTCCATGGTTAACACACGGCTAACAAACTGCTTGACCCTCACTGCTGCTCTGTTTCGTTGGAGCTCCTGTGATGCTGTGTATTAACCCATCACTGTATTTTATCTTACCTCTTACACCATGCCAGCTAAAACCATCACTTCTCTCATCATCATCACCTGGTCAAACAACGATCAAGGTAGAACAAACGCTCAATGAAAGATTTCGAATAGTACTTGAACCCAAGTCTGTTTGTTTTAACCCCTTCATCACCACCACCAGGACCCATCCATCACCCATCCATCACCCATCCACAGTATCTCACCCCACCAGCCACTGTTGTTAACCCTGTGTTGTCTCCCCTCTACCTGCACAGCCCCAGACACCACAGACAAACAGCACCAAAAACAGCATAGTCACCAGCCCTAAAGGAAACGTCCCTACTCCGGTTCTGGTATTTACTTTTAATCCTCCCCTCCTCTCTCCTCCCTCTGCCCGTCTGTCTGTCTGTCGGTCTGTCTGTCAGTTTAACCGTCTATTTGTCCATCTGTCCGTCTGTCTTTTTTTGACTGTTTGTCCGTCCTTCTTCCCTTTCTCCGTCCCTCCTTTTCCTCTGTCGGTCTCAGTTGTTTGTTGTCACTTTAGAGCAGCTGTGGTTGGCTAGATGGCTCTTCATTGTCTCTGTCAAGTGTCTGTCAGATGCTTTCTGTAGGAGAGAAGCCAGAAATGCCAGGTTGTGTCAAAAAGTGCTTCCCTGTTAAAGATTGCCACCGTGTGTTATAAAGATTTTCCAACTGTTGCTTCACTGTAACCAACTGTTACTGTGTGTGTTTCCTTCCATAATGTTGCAGTATTTTATTATTTTGGTATTTAGACAAGAGAGGGGCAGACATCTGAGTCTGTGGGTGGTTGTTTGTCTCTTGTCTGACACTCATCTCTCTTCCCTATAGCAGAGATCTACTGAACATTGGTGTGTGATTGGTTAGTGAAGAAGCTATATTGGGTAACCGGAAAATAAATGTTCCATGCTGTTTGTGTAGGAATGACACTGTACATAACATATAAATATCTGTGAAAACAGGAAGACAACTGACAGATTATGTTTCATGATTAATGATTAGTTGGAAGCGACATAAACCCAACTTGGTCACAACTAATCAGCTGCGGGGAATTATGCCATTATAACTGCTAGATGGTTGTAAACTACTTGGAGCATGGTGCAACACCAGAGTTTCAATGTGGGTTTGTTTTCCACATTGGCTAGATGTACTGAATATATTTACTCTTCAATAACCGTGGATAAAAGTGTCTGCTAAATGACCATATATTACTGAATCACTGCTTCTCTCCTGTGATTAGTTGTTAACTTGGGTGACCTATATTGAACAATGTGGAGGATCTGCCTGACTACTGGGTGATATGAGAGCACTAGACACTAAACACTAAACAGGGATCAGGCCAGTTAGAGAAGCGAGCTGGAGAAAGATGGGGGGAAATGACAGGCATCCTACATTTACATTGACATTTTAGTCATTTAGCAGATGCTCTTATCCAGAGCGACTTACAGTTAGTGAGTGCATACATTTTCATACTGGCCCCCCGTGGGAAACGAACCCACAACACTGGCATTGCAAGTGCCATGCTCTACCAACTGAGCTATAGGGGACTACATACACACCACCAGGACAACACATGCAGCCATTTATCAGCATATTTTTAGGAGCCCTCACAGTTGTCCTTTAATGTTAGGTGTGTGTGGGGTGGGGTGGTAGGGGGTAATATTATTTCATTTGTTGCTAGGACTTCTGCTACCGTAGCTTATTATTGTGCTATTTGGTGCTTTAACCTCTTCTATTATACTGCAGGCGCAGGAGGGTAATCACTGAATACAGAGTTTGTTCCTTCGTTGACACACAAATGCGCTCCAATAGCGATCAACGAAACAGGCACGGGGAAACAAACATCCCTGACAATTACACTGTAACGAAATCCAATGATACATAGGCACAAGGGAAAAATCTACCATGGCAACACAATGTTATGAGTAGCTCCACCGAGCTACATACTCTCACAATGAACACTCACCCACAAGGACAAGGGGGCAGAGGGAACACTTATACACTGACTAATTAGGGGATTAGAACCAGGTCTGTGTGATTGACAAGACAATTGTGATGATGAATGGGGCGGCAGTGGTTAGTACTCCGGTGACATCGAACGCCGAAGCCTGCCCGAACAAGGAGGGGAGGCAGCCTCGGAGGAAGTCGTGACAGTACCCCCCCCCCCTTGACGCGCAGCTCCAGCTGTGCGCCGACCCCGGCCTCGGGGACGGCCAGGAGGACGCGGAGCAGGGCGAGCCGGATGGCGACGGTGGAAAAACCGCAACAGGGAGGGATCGAGGATATCCCTCACCGGGACCCAGCACCGTTCCTCTGGACCGTACCCCTCCCACTCCACAAGGTACTGAAGGCCCCCCACCCGACACCTCGAATCCAGGATGGCACGGACAGAGTACGCCGGGGCCCCCTCGATGTCCAAAGGAGGTGGAGGAACCTCCCGCACCTCAGACTCCTGGAGCGGACCAACCATCACCGGCCTGAGGAGAGACACATGAAACGAGGGGTTAATACGGTAATCAGGGGGGACCTATTACTCCCAGGGCAGGCGGAGGGGCAGATTCCGGGTTGAGGGCCAGACCCGATCTCCCGGTACGATGACCGGGGCCTCACTGCGGTGACGGTCAGCGTTGGCCTTCTGACGACGCACGGCGCGCTGGAGGTGAACGTGGGCAGCGTCCCACGTCTCCTCCGCGCACCGAAACCAGTCATCCACCGCAGTAGCCTCGGTCTGGCTCTGGTGCCACGGTGCCAGTACCAGTTGGTAACCTAAAACACATTGGAATGGTGTTAGGTTAGTAGAGGAGTGGCGGAGAGAGTTCCGGGCATATTCTGCCCATGGCAAGAACACTGACCACTCCCCTGGCTGGTCCTAGCAGTAGGACCGCAGGAACCTACCCACATCCTGATTTACTCGTTCCACCTGCCCATTTGACTCGGGGTGGAACCCAAGGTCAAAGTGAACAAGACCCCCAGACCTTCCATGAACGCCTTCCAAACCTTGGACGTGAACTGGGGACCTCGGTCGGACAATATATCCTCTGGCACCCCGTAGTTCCGGAAGACATGAGTGAACAGGGCCTCCGCAGTCTGCAGGGCCGTGGGGAGACCGGGCAGAGGAAGGAGGCGGCAGGACTTGGAGAAGCGGTCCACAACGACCAGGATGGTGGTGTTACCTTGGGAGAGGGGAAGATCAGTCAGAAAATCAATGCTAAGGTGAGACCATGGTCGTTGTGGAACTGGTAACGTTTGTAGCTTACCCGCTGGGAGGTGCCTAGGTGCCTTACTCTGGGCGCACACCGAGCAGGAGGAGACATACACCCTCACGTCCTTAGCCAAGGTAGGCCACCAGTACATTCCGCTCAAGCAGTGCACTGTACGACCGATACCTGGGTGACCAGAGGAGGGTGACATGTGTGCCCAGAAGATCAGTCGATCATGGATAAGAGCAGGCACGTACCGCAGCCCAGCTGGACACAGCAGTGTAGATGGATCTGTGAGTAATGCCCGCTCTATATACGCGTCCATCGCCCATACTACCGGCGCCACAATGCAGGAGGCCGGGAGTATGGGGGTGTTGTCTCTGGGCCTCTCCTCTGTGTCATACAGCCGGGACAGTGCGTCTGCCTTCACGTTCTTCGTACCCGGAATGTATGATAGTGTAAAATCAAACCGGGTGAAGAATAGGGCCCACCTGGCCTGGCGAGGATTCAGCCTCCTCGCTGCCCGGATGTACTCCAGGTTACGGTGGTCCGTCCAGACGAGGAAAGGGTCTTTCGCCCCTTTGAGCCAATGCCTCCACACGGTCAAAGCTCGCACAACAGCCCAACAGCTCCCGATCACCAACGTCGTAGTTCTGCTCCGTCGGGCTGAGCTTCTTCGAGAAGAAGGCACAGGGGCGGAGCTTGGGTGGCGTGCCCGAGCGTTTGGACAGGACAGCGCCTATCCCTACCTCAGACGCATCCACCTCCACTACGAACGGTAGTGTTGGATCGGGGTGGGCCAGTACCGGAGCTGAGGTGAACAGACCTCGCAGTCTCCTGAAGGCCAGATCTGCCTCAACAGACCAGCGGAGCCGGGACGGCCCACCCTTCAACAGGGATGTGATGGGAGCTGCGACCTTGCCAATGCCCCGGATAAACCTTCGGTAGTTGT